AAGGAGTAATGTTTAGTTTGTGCAGACACAGTCCATGTTTCCAGCTAAGATGCCAGCAAACAATAGTCCTGCCCTATGCTGCCCATCTCTCTCTGCATTTCCGTCCCTCACTCTACTCTCTCACCCTGTAGGTGTTGTTGAGGTGTACAGGGTGACCAAGCGTGTGGAGCTGGGGATAAAAGCCACTGCAGTGTGCAGTGAGAAACTCCAGCAGCTGCTGAAGGACATTGATAAAGTATGGAATAACCTCATTGGCTTCATGTCCCTGGCCACACTCACGGTAAGCCCATTAGATATTCACTTGCTTTTCCTCCCAGGATCCTCAGAGGTAAAGCGAAGTGTACGTTCCTGTGGTGGCGCTTACTTGAAGATTGAAGGTGAGGTGCCCACTGGATTGTGTTACGTTGAAGGAAGGAGATAATTGTACAATTAGCTGAATAGCACCAGCTTGGCTTCTCCATTAGCCCGCAGGCCTGTGGTGCCCACATAAACTAAGAGTATGGGGAAAGTATCTACTCTGTCAACATCTTTTTTCTTTTTAAAAAATTTTATTGATTTAAGTCATCTCCACACCCAACTTTTGGGGCTCAGACACAGCCCTGAGATCAGGTATCGCATGCTCTTCTGCCAGAGCCAGCCAGGCGCCCGCCCTGTCTGCATCCTTCTTAAGTCACATACATATACACACATTTTGCAGAGCATCAGTGGGAGTTCCTCTGTTTGCTCTTCCAGTTCCTTCTGGTCCCATGTGTGTCCTTTTAGTATATGTGCTGCCAAAGCGAGCATCATGTGTGTCCTTATTCATTCATTCATTCATTCATTCATTTATTTGTGTGTGTGTGTCCTTTTTATTTTATTTTATTTTATTTTATTATTTTATTTTTGTGTGTGTGTCCTTTTAAAAAGCTGTGCAACATCTCGCTGCTGTCCTGTGGTTCATTTAGTCTTTTTACTTTTCTAGGTGCTTGAATTATTTCCATTTCTTCCTGTTATGAGTAGTTCTACTCTGAATATCATTAAACAAATGACTGTTTGTCCTCTCAGGGCTATAGTTCATCCAAGTGGAATAAAAAGTCAGAACGTGTGTTTGCACATGTACGTGCATGTGTTCATATATAGCTATTGTTACTTTTAGTATATGGCTTTCCAGAGAGCCTGGGCCAGTTGGCAGTGCTTCCAACAATATATAAGTGTACTTTTTTTTACACTGTGTTCTAGCTTTCTTTGTCTGCTTCTTCATTTTGCAAGTGTGTAGTGAGTCCCTTAAAGTGTTTTTTTGTTTGTTTTTAAAGATTTTAAGTAATCTCTACACCCATTGTGGGGCTTGAATTTACAACCCCAAGTTCAAGAATCACGTACTCTATGGACTGAGCCAGCCAGGCGCCCTGCTCAAGGTGTTTTTATATTTCATTCATTTTGTAGAGGCTATGCAGTATTCCAAATGATAATTTACTCTATTTCCTTTATGTGTAAATTGATTATCTGTTTTGACCATTTGACCATCTATTCAATGAAATACGGTTATTGGCCTTACATATTTCATATTTGTAATAGATTTATATATATACACAAGCAAACATAGACTGGTAGGCTTATATCTGTTCTTCATCTTCTCTTCCCTTCGTTTTCCATTTCATTGAGCAAAACTATTTTATATATTCATACCTATTCAGTTTGTCTCTGATAATATGCTTTATTTCACAATAGTCAGAAATTTATCTTTCTTCCACAGCTGGAATAAATATGCCATTCCATTTTCTTTCTTTCTTTTTTCCCTCGCATATAATTGTGTGACCCATCTGAGTGGGACCACAGCCAGGTTGTAGGAAGCAGTTCTTACTGTGCAGTGCTGATAGCCAGACGGATACCAGCTCTCCCAACAACATGCCTTAAACAGCACATCTTCCCACCATTGTTATGTTGCTTCTGGTTTGTAATATTAAGTTCTTAAAGAGTTTAAATCATTTCCAAAAATCTCTATTTTGTTCCCTTGGACTATTTTTCAATTTATAACCTAAAATCATATGGTTTGGGTAATTATTTTAAAAAACACAGTTCTGGCCAGTACAATAAGAAATGAAGTATAAATATTTGAAAAGAAGAGATAAAATTATACTTATTTGGTGATATGAAATACATAAATCTGAATTCAAGAGGTTAAATTTATTGAGTTTGGCAAAAATTCATAGCGTTCTTACATATTAACAGTAGCTAGAAAGTATAATAAAAATGAGAACCTCATTTTTTTTAATGTTATTAAATCAGTCAAGTCCTTATCACTTCTGACCTCATAGCTAGAGTTGCTGGTTCGTTTCGTTATCCCCTATCAATCTGCTCTGCATGCCCTACCAGCCTGTTCTTTCTGAAATGTAAGTCTGGTCATGTTATTTAAATCACATTTAAAATCCTGCTGTGGGCTCTCTAGAGTCTTCAGGATCAAGTTTCAATTCCTTAGCTCAGTACATAAGGCCTTTTCCATCCGTTGGGCTGCCTGCCTTTGCCTCTCTTTCTCTGTTAGGCTGCTTTTCCCTCTGGACTCTGCATCACTTCCCCCAGAAGACATTCCAGTAAGCCCTTCAGTGTGAATTCAGTGCCCTTCCTGTGTGTGTCCACAGCACATCAGCACATTTCTCTGTCTTAGCACTTACCACACTTGTTGATAATCGTGTGTTTACTTGTTTCCTGCCCACTAGGTTGTCTGCTCCTTAATAGCCAGACTGTATCCTCTATTTCTTTGTGTTCTAACACAGTGTTTGATGGAACTTCGTACTTTTTGTGTTATATACCTTTGAACCTTCCAGTTTTTTTCAAAATAGATATGCATTTTTTATACTTCATAAAGTTAATAACTGGTGTAAATGTTTTAAATAAATGGATAAGAAAAATGAAACAGAGGTAAAAGAAGGGAGATAAGATAAAGCCAGGAATGAAGTTAAATATACAAAAGTATGTGCTTTTGAAGTGCTTCCTTTTGCTAGTGTTGAGCTGTACAGTTAGTTGACTTTACTCTTTCTAGGAATTGATATAAACAAGACATGATGAATTCCTCGATTCACTGTGTTCATAACATAAAATAAACCCACTACTCAGGAGATGCATAATTTTATTCCTGATACTGATATCGGAAGGAAATTTCTTTTATGGGCTTTATAAAGAAGAAACTAATGTAACTTATGTTATCTTCAACATTCTTTCAGCAAATAAAGCAATAGGTTTCACTGAGCAAAATATTTCATTTTTTACTTAATAATAAACCCAGTTTTTGTTTGGCTTGCTTATTGGAATCCTAATGGTATTGATGTGGTAAAATGGGGACTATATTAAGAAGTATAAAATGGTATCACCCTAAAAAGGATATTTAGCAATATACTTTTCCCCTGTCTGTGAACTCCTTAAGGACAAGGACCAAGACCACATTTTATTCATTTTGTGTTCCCTATTTTCTGTACATTTTTCCCCTGTTTGTATCCCAGGACTAGAGGGCAGCTTAAGAGCCTCCCCCTTTCCATTTAGATTGTAAAATTTTTTGTTTTGGTGGCAGTTTCTCATGTAATTAATGCTTTGAAAACTAGATTTCTATACAAATCTTCAAATCACGGGCACCTCAGTGGCCCAGTCATTTGAGGGTCGACTCGGTTTCAGCTCTGGTCATGATCTCTGGATCATGGGCTCTGTGCTGGGCATGGAGCCTGCTTAAGATTCTCTCTCTCCATTCCCCCCCTCTAGCTTGCAGGTATGCTCTCTAAATAAATAATTAAAATCTTTAAAGAAAAACAACCTTCAAATCACCTACCCTTCTCTTCTCTTCTGGTGCTGGTAGAAAAAGATGGCTGCAATAGCAAAGCATCTTTCTTTGTCCTGAGCTCTTTGAAGGAAAGTTATCATGAAAGACCAGGTGTATTAACCAAGCTCCTATGTGTTAATCCTTTTCAATTTGGGGCAAAGGATAATTGAGGAGAATCCTGGCTTGGATAGCTATCAAGTATTTAGTTCTTAAGGTAGCTACTGTCACTGGGTGAGGTTGAAGCCATTTTCATCCTTGTATATCATCTCACTTCCAAGCTCCCCCAGTTGCTCATGAGATAGGCTTGCCTTCTAGACTGCCCCTCCTTCCTCTAGAAAAATACAAAAATCTGTTATACCATTCAGTAAATTGTGTTACTTAAACCATTGAACAAGCTTTGACAAATTCACACCCCAAATAACCAATGCCCATATAAAGATACAGGATATCCCATCATTCCAGAAGGTTTCCTTATGCTAATTCTTTGTCATCATCCCACTCAGAGGTTATAATCCCTATTCTGATTTTTTTTTTTTATACCAAGGATTAATTTTGTTCAGACCTTTTTAAAGAAGCAATAGCGGGTACCTCTCTGGTTCAGTTGGTAGAGCATGCAAATCTTTTTGTTTGTTTTTGTTTTAAGATTTATTTATTTATTTTAGAGAGCACACACATGTGCAAGTCGAGGGAGGGAGGGGCAGAGGGACAGAATCTTCAAGCAGACTTCCTGCTGAGTGTGGAGCCTGATGCGGAGCTCAGTCCCAGGACCCTGAAATCAGAACCTGAGCCAAAACCAACAGTCAGATGCCCAACTGACTGAGCCACCCAGGTGCCCCAAGCATATGACTCTTAATCTCAGGGTTGTAAATTGGAGCTTCATGTTGAATATAGGGATTATTTAAAAATAAAATCTTTTAAAACAAAACCAAGTTATAGAATTTGCTTTTAAAAAAAAATTTTATTTATTCATGAGAGACACACAGAGAGAGAGAGAGAGAGAAAGAGGCAGAGACACAGGCAGAGGGAGAAGCAGGCTCCATGCAGGGAGCCTGATGTGGGACTCCATTCTGGATCTCCAGGATCAGGCCCTGGGCTTAAGGTGGTGCTAAACTGCTGAGTCACCCGGGCTGCCCTAGAATTTGCTTTTGTGGGGCCCCTGGGTGGCTCAGCAGTTGAGTGTCTGCCTTTGGCCCAGATCATGATCCCAGGGTCCTGGGATCAAGTCCTGCATCGGGCTCCCCACAGGGAGCCTGCTTCTCCATCTGCCTATGCTTCTGCCTATGCTCTGCCTCTCTCTCTGTGTCTCTCATGAATAAATAAAATATTTTTTTAAAAATTTGCTTTTGTGATATCAAAGAAAGCCTGTTGGGTCTGGTTACCCCCCTAACCTGGAAGTGTTGCCCTGTTCACATATGGTGATTCTAAGCCCTTCAGTGTGGCAGCAAGTGAGATGAAATGGAAGAGTTGCCAGACATTCATACCCTCTCCTTCGAGCTCCCGTGAAAAACTTTCACATCTAGTATCTGTGTCTAATGAGTGATGTTACCTGACAATTTTTTCTAGACACGGGATAAACAGTATAGAAATCAATTAGTCTGCAACTAGACAATGCAGGAATGCATGCAGATTGTACGTGAGCGCTGCTGAGTACCCATTCCTGTGATTATCCATGCATTTCCAGCTGTAAGTGCCTTTTTCACCAAGTAAGCTGTAGACAATAAAATAATCCTCCTCTGCTTGGTTATTATTCCTGATTACACCATGTCATTTCCTTTTGATAACTTGTAGGTCTTTGGTCTATAAAACTTAACTTGAATTGCCCACTGCATGAAGAGTAGTACATATTCTCCAGGGGAAGTGTAAGATAGGACTTGTCACAGAGAAACTTTTACTCTTAAAAAAAAAAAAAAAAGTGAATGTTAATAACCCAAACCAACATCTATGTAGTTCAGTTAGAACAGAACTCTGCAAACTCCAGGGACTCTGGATGGGAGGCTCAGTGCAAAGAAATCATTACAGGACCGAGGTTGTATAGGAGACTTTTGACTCTATACCATTGCTTCATTTTAGGTAGAATTGAAAGTTCCTTAATGAACCAAATAGCCATAGTCAGGCTCTTTGATTCCAACTATAGAGTAGTTTATTTTACACCTAGAACCTGTCGAGCATTGTGCTGTATGCTTTACATTCATTCTCATTTAACCCTGGTAACAGTCCTCAAGGTCAGTAAAATAATCCTATTTTTACAGCTGAAGAAATTAAGGCTCAGGGATGAACCTTGCCTGAAACTGACAAATCAGGGATTTAAATGCACATCATAGTTTGTTTTGTTTTGTTTTTAAGATTTGTTTATGGGGGCCTGCGTGGGGCAGTGGATTAAGCATTTGACTCTTGGTTTCTACTCAGGTCATGATCTCAGGGTTGTGAGATGGAGCCCCATGTCAGTCTCCATGCTCAGTGCAGAGAGTCTGCTTGATATTCTTTCTGCCTCCTCCACTGTGTGCACATGCTTTCACTCTCTCATAAATAAAATCTTTTCAAAAATTAGAAAAATTTATTTTATACAGCAAGTATGAGAGCATGAGTGTGGGAGGGGGACAAAAGGAGAGGGAGGAGTCAGAAGCAGACTCTGCCCTGAGTGTGAAACCCCACAGGGGGCTCAATCTCCCAGCCTTGAGATCATGAGTTTGAAAAGTCCACTTTTACTGTGTTGGTCCCAGCTTCCAGGATGCTAAAATAAAGACTTGTTTCTTCCATGAAGATATCACGAAACTATTCCCAACAAAAAGCAGCTGCATTGCCTTTCTTCAGTGAAAAAGTCCTGGAATGTTAGTGCTGTATCACACACAGCAGTGGTGCGTGGGGTAAGGAAAGCAAAGTACACAACCCTGAACTCCAGCTGTGGCTCCCTGATGCTTAGTGAAGCTGAAGTTCTACTGCAGTTTCAGCCTGCCCTTCATGCATGGGCTACAGCCCCCTCTTGTGGTAGAAGCATATGCTCCTCTGGGCACAAACTGAAGGAACTGGTTATTTCTCAAGAGGTAAAAATCATCTATTTTAATGATATGAGTGAATTGTTACCTAAGAGTTGAAGCTCAATGAATGTTTGGAACAAAGACAGACTCAGCCCTGGAAAACAAAGAAGATCCGTTCCTGCCGTATAAAATCTACAAAAAGAGATACAAGACTGTTAGTCTTTTAACCTCTAGGCGGTTGAAAATCACACGGGCTTGGATTCTGCTATTTATCCTCAGAATAGTACAAATTCTTTTGTACTTCCTTTCAATGGGAAATAAGCAGTGAATTTCAGACTACTTACTTCCTATTGCTGTGGTAGATCAGTTTATTTTTAATAACGATAGCATTTTTGTGCAAGTACGCACATTGTTTTAGAGACAAAATTTTTTATTTATTCATGAAAGACATGGAGAGGCAGAGAAAGAAGCAGGCTCCCTGTGGGGAGCCCAGTGTAGGACTTGACCCCAGGATCACAACCTGAGCCAAAGGCAGACACTCAACCACTGAGCCACCCAGGTGCCCCAAGAATCTTCATTATGTTTCTGCATGGCTAGCCTCAGTTGACAAGATGATAGGGTAGATAGATGGAATGAGCCATCCCCACCTCCACAAAGATGACCATACCCTAATCCCTGGAACCTGTGAATTTGTTACCTTATGTGATAGAAGGGACTTTACAGAGGTTAAGTGAAGGATCTTTAAACGGGAAATTTGCCCTGGATTATCAGGCATAAGAGTGAGTATGAGAAAAAGCCATATAACAATGAGACCAAAGAGAAAGATTGGCAGATTCTCTGCTATTGGCTTTGAAGATAAAAGCTGGGATGAGGGCAGCCCTGGTGGCTCAGCGGTTTAGTGCCACCTTAAGCCCAGGGCAGGATGTTCCTGGAGACCCGGGATCGAGTCCCACGTCGGGCTCCCTGCATGGAGCCTGCTTCTCCCTCTGTCTGTGTCTCTGCCTCTCTTTCTGTCTCTCTCTGTCTCTCATGAATAAATAAAAGCTTAAAAAAAAAAGCTGGGATGATTCAAGGAATATACAGGTGATCTCTAGAAACTAGACAAGGTAAAGGAACAGATTCTCCCCTAAAATTTCCAGAAAGACTGTTGTGCTGTCAGTGTGGACTTTAGAATTCTGACCTCAAGAGCTGTAGGAGAATAAATTTATGTTGTTTTAAACAACTAAATTGTTGCTATTTTGTTATGGCAGCAATAGGAAAAATTAGATGAAACATTGCAACCAAGAATCAAGATGGTTACATCGTGGGATGCCTGGTTGGCTCAGCGGTTTAGCTCCTGCCTTTGGCCCAGGGTGTGATCCTGGAGTCCTGGGATCATGTCCACATCGGGCTCCCTGCATGGAGCCTGCTTCTCCCTCTACCTGTGTCTCTGCCTCTGTGTGTGTGTCAAGAAAGAAAGAAAAAGAAAGAAAGAAGAAAAGAAAGGAAGGAGGAAGGGAGAAAGGGAGAAAAAGAAAGAAAAAAAGAAAAAAGAAAGAAAAAAGAAAAAGAAACGAGAGAAAGAAGAAAGAAGGAAGGAAAGGGAGGAAGGAAGGAAGAAAAAGAAAAGAAAAAAGAAAAAGAAAGATGGTTACATTGTAACTCAAACCCAAGGTCTAGAATTGCTTGTGGAACTTTGTTTATATCATTTTTTGTATTAGTCTAGGCTAACTAGCTGGGTTTATGCTGTGCAAATAATTCCCTGCAGCGTCTTACTGATGATGTAAAACAACAGAGCTGCAAGTTCATCTCAAGTTGGAGGATCCCTGGGAACAGGTTCTCCTCACTCAGGGATCTAGGTTGGCAAAGCCTCCACCACTTGGAGAAATGGCTGATCACCATGGAAGGGTCAAGGGAACGTGTCTAACGGCACATGGAGCTTGAGGCTTCCTCCCAAAAGTAACACATGTGACTCATGATCACAGTCTGTTGATGGTGCATGTTACATGACTGTGCATAATTTAAGGGAATAGGAAATGCCCATCTTACCATTTGTCCGGAAGAATTATAATGAGGATGTTTGTAAAGAACACTGATTACTACCAAATTTTTCTTCCTTAGTACTGATTTTCTTAGATATTTGAGCTATTTATTGTTAGCTATAAGACTCAGGATAATATATCCCAGTCTGACTTTGGGACTCACTGTATGTAGGTCATTTGTACCTATAACTACTTTTTAAAATCTTTACTAAATGCATGAAACATTGGCCAATTAATGTAGATGATGTTCCATTTAAAATGGCCTGTAGAGGGCATAACTTCTTACAGAATTAGGGCCATGGACTATTACACTATTGCAATGTACTACAACACCCCTGCTCATAGTTGTCTATTCATAAAGGTTAATTTTATCATGTGAAAGATGAATTTGACCACAAGATAATTTATGAAAAGCTTTACGATTTTCACAGGAGATTACAATATGACCTTTTCATTCGCTTTCCTTAGGCCTTTGATAAAGGCCTTTGATATTAAAGAGCTTTTCTTAATTGGATTGATTTCAAAGTTAGGTTTTCCCAGATTCTAATTATTCCTCAAAATAGTCCTTGTTCAGCAACATAATAAATATCTATAACATAGATGTTAGTAGTGATACTATTTTTTTAACCTCTTTGAAAAGCTTGTTAGATTTTGTCAAAGTAAATAATTTTAATCATTTAGATCAATTCAGCAAACTTTTTAAATACTTTATTTATTCATGAGAGACACAGAGAGAGTAGAGGCAGAGAGAGAAGCAGGCTCCTCACAGGGAGCCCGATGTGGGACTCGATCCCAGGGCCTCCAGGATCACACCCTGAGCCAGAGGCAGAAGCTCAACTGCTGAGCCACCCAGGTGTCCCATTTTCAGCAAACTTTTTATATATCTCTCAGGGTCCCAGCAGCAACTGAGGAAGGTATATAGGACAAATGAAATTGTTAACCATTTTATAGATGACAGACTTGGGCAGCAAACAAATTGTAGTACAACCTGCTTCTAGATTTGACCAGAGTTGGCCATGGTTGCACTAGAAAAGAAAAATTATTGTCTGGCTTGGTTAAAGCTGTGTAGGTTCACTTCATGGTCAGAGTCCTCATGCACATTTGAAACATCTGCCTCCCCTTTTCTTTGTTTGAGAACTGATGCTTAGTGTGATCTGAATGGATCACACTTCGCTCAGTGTGATCTGAATGGATTCAGCTCAGATTAGTTTAAGAAAGGTTTGTGGAACACAATTTATGATTTCAGATTAGAAAGGGGTGAGGAAGGGTGCCTGGGTGGCCCAGTTGGTTGGGTGTCTGCCTTTGGCTCAGGTCATGATCCTGGGGACCTGGGATTGAGTACTGCATTTGGCTCCCTGCTCACCAAAAAGTCTGCTTCTCCTCTCCCTCTGCCCTTCCTCTTTCATGCACACACACATTCTCTCTCAATTAAATCTTTTTTTTTAAGTTTTATTCATTAATCATGAGAGACAGAGAGAGAGAGGCAGAGACACAGGCAGAGGGAGAAGCAGGCTCCATGCAGGGAGCCTGACGTGGGACTCAATCCTGGGTCTCCAGGATCATGCCCTGGGCTGAAGGCGGCACTAAACTGCTGAGCCACCCGGGCTGCCCATATATCTTATTATTTATAAATTATATCGGGATCCCTGGGTGGCGCAGCGGTTTGGCGCCTGCCTTTGGCCCGGGGCGTGATCCTGGAGACCCCGGATCGAATCCCATGTCGGGCTCCCGGTGCATGGAGCCTGCTTCTCCCTCTGCCTGTGTCTCTGCCTCTCTCTCTCTCTCTCGCTCTGTGTGTGACTATCATAAATAAATTTAAAAAAATTAAAAAAAATAAATTATATCAACAAAAATTTATAATAAGCTCACATACATATATGTGTTTGTATGTGTATAAATACTTGTACATATGTTTGCATTTTTTTTCCTTTGGCAAGTCCATTCTTAATGGTGGAGTCGGGGGCGATTTTGCCCCCAAATTGGCCAAAGATTCTGCTTAACTTCCTCCAGTGCAGAGGGCAGGCCCCACAATATAGAATTACCCAAATTAAAATGCCAGTGATGCCAAATTTGAGAAATCTCTGCTCTAGGGCACATAAAAGCAAAATTAATTGGTTTACATATATCTAAAACTTCTTCGTATTAAGAATATTATTCTTCTGGGGTTCTTGGCTGGCTCAGTCAGTAGAGTGTGCCACTATTGATCTCAAGGTTGTAAGTTCAAGCCTCACATTGGATTTGGATGTAGAAATTGCTTAAAAATAAAATCTTAAAAAAGAACACAACTCTTCTGAAATCTTTTTTTTTCTCATTTTGTTTTGGCTTTATACTTCAAGTGTTTTTCTCAATTGAAGGATAACTTACAGATAGTGAAATGCACAGATCTTGAATATATAGTTGAATCAGTTTTGACAAATCCCTTTAGCCTTGTAAGCCCACACCCCATCAATATATGGAGTGTTTTCATCACTTCTTAAAGTTCCCTCTTTGCCATGGTCTGATTCCAGAAATAAGCACTGATTTATTTTCCATAGACTTTTATCACCACAGAGTTGGTTGTTCTAGAACTTTATATAAAATTATATAGTATATATAGGTTCTTGTGTCTGGCTTCTTAGCATGTTTTAAAAATTTATCTGAATTGTTGTGTGTATCAATTTGATCCCTTTTATCAGTGAGTACTGTTCCATTGTATTGATATACTGTGAATTTTTATTTATAGACACATGCTATTTCCAGCTTGGCTAATGTGAATAGTTACTATGAACACTTTTTGTACAAAACTTTTGTTTTCATTTCTCTTGGATAAATATCAAGGTGTAGAAATGCATATAAGATCATATAGTAGATACATATTTTAACTTTTAAGAAATGAAGAATTTTCAGGGTACCTGGTTGGCTCCATCAGTCAAGAGACTGACTCTTGATTTCAGCTCAGATCTTGGTCTCAGGGTTGTGATTTCAAGCCCCACTGGGCAGCGTAGAGCCAACTTAAAAAAAGAAGAAAAAGAAGTAGTGAAGAGCTTTCCAGGGGCACCTGGCTGACTTAGTAGAGCATGTGACTCTTGATTTTGGGGTCATGAATTTGTGCTCCATGTTGGATGTAAATATTACAATGAATGAATGAATTTTTTTTTATTAAAAAGAAATTAACAGCTTTCCAAAGTTGGGACCTGTCCTGTTAATCATTGGACTACACTCCATATTTCACAGATTTGTTGTTAGGAAGAAATTAGATAATACATGTGAAGAGCTTAGTGTGGTGCCTAGCAAGTAAGGGCTTGACTGATAGCTGTATTGAGATTTATTCTCTCTGAATAACTAAAATAAAATAAATCCAATGTGAGGCTTGAACTTACAACCCTGAGATCAATAGTGGCACACTCTACTGACTGAGCCAGCCAAGAACCCCAGAAGAATAATATTCTTAATACAAAGAAGTTTTAGATATACGTAAACCAATTAATTTTGCTTTTATGTGCCCTAGAGCAGAGATTTCTCAAATTTGGCACCACTGGCATTTTAATTTGGGTAATTCTATATTGTGGGGCCTGCCCTCTGCACTGGAGATAATAAGTTAATAATAAGATAATAAGTTATCTTATTGATAACTTCTGAATCTCACAGTCTTGAGCACTAGGCTATGGATCCATCTTCCGGCATATATAACATCAGAACTTGGCCATCCCACAGGTAGCTTCGACTCTACATATATCAAACTGAGCTCTCATCCCCAGCCCTAAACATGGGTCTCCCGTCCTATGCCTTATTATGGCGAATCCTGTTGGCTAGACAGGCCTCTCCCCTTCTTGCACATCTCACACATCACCCAAGCTTTTTCAGGCAACCGTTTCTCTCTGTCCCCCACTGTTGCTTCCCTAGAACTTTCTTTACTTTGTCTCCTGGATCACTTATGTCATAACTGAGGCCCATACCTGGAGATTGCCATCTGCAGCTCTTTGCCTACACTGCCATCAGAGGGAATTGTCCGAATACAGACTTGCTCCTGTCGTAGTCCCGTTAGAACCCTCAGTGGCTTCCCAAGATAAGGTCTCTTCTATTCCTTCAAGGCCTTCATGCTACAATTCCATCTTCTACCTCCTTTCATAAGCTTGGCTCCCACCCCTTAGATTTCTTCCCATAGCCGATTTGCTTAGAGGCCTCTGCCTGTGCTGCTTGTTCTTCAAAGAACAAATACCATACCCTCTCTTACCTCACCTTTCCCCGTCCCCTTCACCTCGCATATAACCTATGGAAACCTCAGCCAAGCTGTTTCTGAGTGCCAGGAAACCTCCTCTGCCATCAGGCTCTTTTTCCCTTGGGTTGGAGTAAGTGCCTCTGACCCCATGTGCCCTAGGATGGCTTTTGTGGCACTGTGCTGCTTGATGCCCACCTGGCCCCCACCCTAGACTGTGCATTCTCCAGGACAGGGACCTTTTTTGCTCATGCGAGCATCCCTAACACCTAGAACACAGTGGGGACTCAGTAAGTGGGAAATTGAATAATTGTATTGATGGTATCAGAGTTTACTTAATTTCTGCTAGACCTATTAGAGATGAGTGATAGGGAATGCAGACAGCAGCATTTGGAATTGCTGAGGCCTTACCATTTGTCTTGTCCTCATAGCCCGATGAAAATTCACTGGATTTTTCCTCCTGTATGCTACGGCCTGGGATTAAAAATGCTCAGGAACTGGCCTGTGGGGTGTGCCTTTTAAACGTGGACTCCAGAAGCCGGGTAAGTGATGCGCCTTCCCTTCCCCCTGCAGATGGCAAGGTGCTTTCCTCACATGACCTCTGGGAACAACCGCATCTAGCCCACTTCACTGGAAGGTCTGCAACCACAAGCGGGGATTTTTATGAAGCCCTGGAATCTGACCACAAAAGCACTTAGATTCTTATGAAAGGGCAGTGGGGGGGGGGAGTCATTGGGTGAATGGGGGCAGTTCTTCCCTTCCCGACAGAATGCTGTGTGTGCTGTGCCCACAGCGCCCTGTGCACACTGGGGTGGTAAAGAGAGGAGGTCAAACCTCTAAGGCTTTGTTTGGAGGCATGAGGCCCTGTTGTGGGAATTTTGTTGACCTTATGGTTTCAACGTTATTTCAGAAAGAAGAGAAGCCTGCAGAAGAACATCCTAAAAAAGTATGAACCAGTTACACATTATCTTAGCATCTCCATCTCAGTTTTGAGTGTGGAAAGCAAATCCACTGCCATCCTGAAGTGTTCTGATCGTGAATCCTTTACTGAGTCATGTCTGTTCCCATAATGTTTGATTTAACCAACTAGTGTGTCTGTGTGGGTCTGCTTGTGTCTTGTTTGCACGCTTGTAGCTCATAATTGGCTTCTGGTGTTGCAGGCATTTTTCTCTGTGATGAACAAGGTAACATATTGAGCGACTTCTGGAAGACTGGAAGTTGTGACAGAGAATGATATCAAAGAGCATCACAATTCGGCAGTTATCAGACAAAAACAAATATTAGAGTTTTGTTTGTTTACTTGTAGTGCTTTAGAATATCCCCCAAGGGCTTGAGGTTAGGACCGGCTGTGTGGGACATACCTATAAGCATGAGTCGTCTGGAAATCATTCTTCTGTGCCTAATAGCTTTATTTTTATAAACCCTGTACCTATTTGGATTTTTAAATTATGTTGATTCAGTTATTAGGTCCCAGTGGCATTAGTCCCCGAGAGTTTTTAATGTTTTGTTTTTTTCCATGAGAGGAATGTAAGCAGTCACAGCAATGTAAGGGATTGCACGTGTAGTTAAATGCCAGCCTTAGGGGAGGGCTTCCTCCGGCACAGTGAGGGTTAAAAATCATCCAGGGCCCTTGGCTATTTTAGTTCCCCATGTGATGAACACCCCCCAGCCAACCTTCTCTCCCCCACCCAGCCCCACCCCCACCCAGCTTCTGTCTGCCCTTTTTTTTTTTTTTCTGCCTTTTCTATGAAAGATTTGGCCTTCTTTTGCGAAACTGGGTTTAATGGTAAGGATTTTTTTTTATACCTTTAATTAGCATCAAAAGACCTTCTCCCTTGAATTCTTGTAGCTACCTGTTCAGCTTCTGTGTGTGCGCCAGTGTGGCCTCAGCCTCTGTGACCCGGAGAGTTGCACGTGCCGGTTGCTGACCAGCTCTGTGGTGCAGAAGCAGACTGACGTGTCCCACATATCTGCTTATTTCTGGCAGGCATTCAACTCCGAAACAGACAGCTTCAAGCTGGCCTATGGGGGACACCAGTATCACGCCAGCTGTGCCAACTTCTGGATCAACTGTGTTGAACCCAAACCTCCCGGCCTCATCCTGCCTGACCTGCTCTGAGAAGTTCCTCTATGAAGTACCTACTGGGTTGTGGTTTTTCCCATTACACCCCGTGAGCTGACAGGGACCAGTAGACAGAATGCAGGGACTGCCCTGTTTACCTCCGTGAAGCTTCACGAAGATTCCCCAAGCCCAGAGCAGGGAGAGAGCCACTGCTTAGTCCCCAGCCATCCCTACAGACGACCTTTGTCCCCGGGGTCCTGCTGCCAGTCTCGGGGGTTGGAGGTGAAGTTGCCTTGCCCAGAATGCATGCGGCACCAGAAGTTTGCTAACTTATCTCTTAGTTCTCTTAAGATGTTTGAAAATACGGATCTCGATTTTCTTTATCTGAGGAATGACTTGCTGCTGCAGTATTGAAACTGTGAAGAGTCGATGCTGGAAGAAAAATAAAGTGCTGTTGTAGGACTGGAATCGGCAAGCATGCTGTGAGCCAGTGCTTACTTGTTTCTAGAACACTGTTGTCCTGTGAAGTAGAGGGCACTTACCCACATTTATTGTGTCGATGTCAGAAATGAATAAAAATAGGAAATTGTGATTAACTGGACATTCTTTTTATAGGGAAACTTCTACTCCTCTCCATGGGACAAGGGCAGGTAGGTGAGGATAGATTTACCAACTGGAGCTGCACAACTGAATCAATTCACCCTTGGTTCATTTCTAATACTATCCACTTCAGAAGGCTTTTTCCTCAAAACATGCCTGGGCCCTTTGCAGTGGATGGAGTGTTCATCTTGACAGAGGCCCAAACCCTTGTGTGTCAGGATGAACAGCCTTCCCCTTAGGAGCCTCCATGGAAAACTGGGAACATGGTACTTTTGTTCAGACAAGATTTGGAAAGACAGCCGATTGAAACCGCTTGGCAGTGGCCTTTGTCCAGATCTCCAAGAATGATGGCGGAGGGGCCAGTGCTGCCCGAGTCCACGGTATCTGATGCGAGAGACCTGAAAGTTCAGGTTAGAAGCTGGAGTTCCCGGCCTCCTTAGGCACATAGTGAGATGGACATTTACGGTAGAGGTACGTGCCTTAGAAGCAGTGGCAGAAAACTGCTCTAAAATAGATGGAATTCTAGAAGGAAAAGGTTCATGCTCGCTATCTGGTATAGGGAATTTTCTTTGCCACTTAAACTGAATGAATAAAACCAGGAGGAAAAGGAAAAGCCAAGGTTAAGGACCGTGAAGTCCTGGGAAGAATCAGGCAACCTGGGGCATACATTTCTCTGAATTGTAAATCATGTGCTTTATGAAGATTTTGAGTCTTGTGTTTCATGTGGTAGGTCTTAGGCTCTCTGACCTAGAGTTTGTTTTTATTTATAAACTGAACAAATTAGTTTTGTCTATAAAATTGCTGCTTTACATAACTAATTAGATTATTTTCCCTTCTCAGGACAAAACTTGAAGGGATTCTATTCTGTTCCATCTTACACCTTTTAGCCTCCATCTTCTCCAAGAAAGGAATAGAATGTTTTCACTAAACAGCTCTTGATGAGGCTCTGCTTTACCTTGCTGTGCCCTGAGTGCAGAGAAGTGAGATGAATCTGCCTCTTTTGCTCCTGATTCATCTGCAGCCAACACCAATGTCTGCATGATTACCCTCGGGGCCTTTGTCCCCCACGAGGCTCTGGGCTCACAGGGTGTTAGTAACGACACAAGCGGGGCCACTTGCTCAGGCTTCCCTGAGCCCTCTGTGCCTCTGCCGCCTGAGCAGCACCTGGTGCATCGTGGCACCAGGATTCCAGCAGGCTTCCCATCCATCTTGTAAATTCCCCAAGAGACCATGGTAACAGGAGTTACCTTTGCTTGCAGTGAGGTCTCCTGGTTTGAATTTACAATGTGGAGGCAGTTTTTGGAAATGCCGTATGAACTATTGTTCTGTCGCACTGGCATGGGTCAGTGACATTTTAAAAAGTATGCTCACCTGCTGCTAACTATAGAATGGATCCATTCCCAGATTCCAGAATGTAAGTCTAACTGCTGCTGGCCTTCCCAAGTACAAGTATGAGAGGCTTAGTCACTCCATGGGAGGTGCAGGAGAATACAGCAGATGTCAACAGAAAGCCCTGGCTATGAAAAATATCCCCTCCTTTTAATATCTGTTCACTCACATACCACCAAGAGTGTGGGAATAATACTGCGTTTTCTTTATGTATGCAAGTTTATTCGAATAGCTTGATGTTGCATTCAGCTTCACCTCGGCTCTTATTAGCCAAGAGTCCGGTGTCCTTGGAAACAGTAACCAAGGTTACTTATTTCCTGTCAATTGTGCAGGCGGCTTCGACCTCACTGCCTGAGTGGTGATTAGTAAGCACTTTTCTCTTTCGGTATTGTATTTTGCTTTTAAACATTCGATGGCTGTGTGTAATTTTTGTCTGGACGCGCTTGAGGTAGAAGAGGCACAGGGTGTGCTACTCTCCATGCTTTTTTTCCCCCTGTGGCTACGAGGTAGTACACTATATAGGTTGCATATTTTAAATGGACTATTTTGTACACATGTACATGTTTTTTCTTTAAAGAAGCCTTCTATTTTTACTTAATGACACGTAATCTCAAGCTTTGGAAAGATTATAGGACCTTTACAGAAATCTGCAATGCTTACTCTGCACTGGGGAGCACTACAGAAATTCCCCTAACACTTTCCAGGTCACACACCTTCCTTTGTGACCAGCTAATAAACTCTGGCATTTAGATTAGAAAGGTGTTAGGCTTCTTAAGTACTAAGAATGCTTACTTACATCCCAGTAGTGGTGTCAGCCAAGATTTCTGCAGGAAGTTTTTTTTACCAAGAACATCTGTCACCAAGTGTTCTCTTACTGTAGTACAGTGGTTATTTTTGGACTCTTATCCAAAGACTACAAGACTTGCAGTTTGCCTTTCATACTGGAATACCGTCATGTATTGTTTTGTTCTTTTGGTTGATTTTTGATCATGTGCTCCTGTAGCGTTTATGGGTTCCTCTGAGTTCCCATAGAAACTATTAACTTCATTTTAATTTTCCTATTTAAATGGTGCATGTTTATAAAAGTAAATGGTATGAAACAAGGTAGAATTTGGATGGAGACCATTGCCACAGACCAGGTAAGATCCAGAAAATATAATTTATATAAACATGTTGTAGCCACTGGCATTATATTTATGGCTTCTTGCCAAAATAGGCCAAAAATCTAGAAAATTATTCCATGAATAAGCAAGCTGCAACCTTCCTGGCAACTGAAGTAAAAAAAAATAAAGCAGCATTGTGACAAAGCAAGGGCAACCTGATGACTCCCAGCAGTTTGTAAGGAGTGTGGAATAGGGAAGCGCTAACGTGAGTTGTCATACTTAGTAGGAGCAGTGAACCAGGAGACACTTTCAAATTTCAACAAAGGAAGCCATTGTTATTTGCTTATCATGTATTGAGATTTGGTTTAGGGCATTTTGTGCGTGAAAGAGTCAAGCAAAGGCATGGCTTTTATTAAAGCCAATTTCTTTAATGGAGCACTGCCTGCTTTTTTGGTGCACTCTGGTTACTAAGAGCCACCTGAAAACAGTACCTTTCATCAGGGCGTCCGTTCTCTGCTGGGTCCCACTGTCCCAGCATCGGGAAGGATATTAACAGCTGCCCATCTGCAAGGATGTGAAACGTTGACATCACTCAGCTGGGATGTCTATTTTAAGTAGCATTTATAGTTGTCCCAGGAACCGTATTTGAACAGTTACTGGAAAGCCTCTTTCTTCCAGCATACACACACACATACACACACCCTGACATTCTTAGTAAAAATTCTAATATGTTATGCAGATATATTTATTAAAAATAATGCTAATATAGTCCTGGGGCACAATGATTCCAAGAGGGTATTTGCAGCAGATTTCATTATAATTACTTAACAACTAGATAAGGTTTTTTTTTTTTTTTTTTTTTTTTTAACTTACAGAGTCAATAATAGGAAAGGAAAGAGTAGGGCTAATCCAGTAGAGACTGAAGCTGGTATCAATCTTCCCTAAGCATTTGGTCGGCAGCCTTGGGCAAAGCTGGTCTCTAAAGGGTTCATCAGGACCCAAAGTGATTTTTGCACTGAGCTCCTCCCGCACCTGCCATGATGCCTAAAGGCCTGGGATTCAGAATACAGCAGAACCAAACAGTTTATTAAACTGTTCAAATTGTTAAAAATGATTAAAAGCCAGTTAAAGATTTTCATAAACACTATTCCAAAATGTTAGTTTTAAAAATGTTACTAGCAATGTATGCATTCCCCTTATATTCTTCCCCTCCCTCCCTATCTTTTAAAATAAACTTGAACACCCAGTGTAAAAAACACTTCAGGGAGAACCAACAGTCCACCATTTGAAAAGGAAGGTGAAGAGGGGAATAGACGGTGTGTAGCAGATGCTGGTACTGCTCAAGGGGCTGCTGATGCAGGCTGTGGTGGCATTACAGCCCCCAGTAAGGCATCAGGTGTCGGGATTCTTTCTCATAAACGTCTGGAACTATGCCATAAGGTGTCTGTACCATTTTAACCGTCGACTTCCCAAAGAGCTGGCGCTCGTAGTCTATCAGCTGCCTCCAGAAGCCGACGTTGGGCCTGATGACGGGCCTGCGGGCCTTCACCCAGTTGTAGGCTTCCAGCAGGCACACACTGTGGCATTTCATCAGGTAAGCAATGCAGAGGGTGGCCGAGCGGCTCACCCCCGCGGCACAGTGCACCAAGGTGGCCCCATGCTTCCTGCTCACACTGTGGATCTTGTCAGCCACCGTGTCAAAGTACAGTCCGATGGGGGCATGAGGCATGTCAGCCAGAGGCACTTTAACATATTCAAACTGGGGCCAGTTGAAATTGGGGATCTCAATGGTAGCATTAACAATGCAGGTGATGCCACGAGCCTGAAGGAGGTGCCGGTTAGAGGCCACGCTGCCTCTGCCCAAGAAGAGAGAGGAGGTGATTTGAGCGATGCCTCCTATGTCTCCCTCAGAAATCATACGAGGGGCCATGAGAGTCCGTGGAAGCGTGCTGTGACCTCTGGAGCTCATGAAGATGCCAGCAATCACACTTGCATCATTGGAAGCAAGACCAGAGGGTTTTGTTTTCCTCCACCAAGGAATCCAAAATCACCGTCTCCTTCCTGAAAAACACAGGCATCTGTCAGTACTTTTGATGCTATCGATTCTTGATTCACCACAGCCTTCTGTAGTTTTGTGGAATGGGAAGGTGAAAGGATTAGAAATGGTTCTTTTCTATAATAGAATACGTTCTGGGCAGCCCAGGGCCTGATCCTGGAGTCCCGGGATTGAATCCTACGTCGGGCTCCCTGAATGGAGCCTGCTTCTGCCTGTGTGTCTGCTTCTCTGTCTCTATGAATAAATATTTTTAAAAAAATAGAATACGTTCTTTCAAGGATGGAGACAATTCTCTGTTAACAAAAAAGTAACCTAAGACAACATACAAAATCAATGTTAAAACTCAGCTCTCTGGTGATTCAATTAAAAAAAGGGTGCGGGGCAGGGGGTAGTAAATGGAAACAGTCATCCTATTTTAGAAATAATTCTAAACTCAAACATGCCCAACTGGTTCCTGAACAATCTTGCAGGGCCTTGCTCTTATTGAACAGGGAGTGGTTCTCCTCGGTAATTACGAAGAAATCAGAAATCCTGATCACTCCTGGAGCCTTCTTTCAGACACGTTTTCCCTATTCACACAACTATGACACTATATTTGCCTAAACTTAAGAGTTACAGAAAAACCAGGATATATGGTCACCGTAGCCCTTTGTTATTTCAAAAAAACAGCTAAAGGACGCCTGGGTGGCTCAGTCAGTTAAGCATCTAATGCTTGATTTTTGGCTCAGGTCGTGATCTCAGGATTGTGAAATTGAGCTCTGCTTTGGACTCTGTGCTGGGTGTGGAGCCTCCTTAAGATTTTCTCTCTACCCCTCCCCCCCATACGTACTCTTAGGACTCTCACTAAAATTAATAACTCACTAAATAGTAAGATGCTGTGGCATTTCTATGGGAATAATCAGGCACACTGAAGGCCATGATCTCAAAAATAGTCTACTGGGTGCCTAGCTGGCTCAGTCAGTAGTGCACGTGACTCTTGATCTCAGGGCCATGAGTTCGAGCCCCACATTTCGTGCAGAGATTAATTAAAAATATATATACATTAGGGGCACCTGGGTGGCTCAGTCAGTTAAGCATCTGCCTTTGGCTTAGGTCATGATCCCAGGATTGAACCCCACATGGGGGGGGGGGCCTCCCTGCTCAGCAAGAGCCTCCTTTTCCCCTGCCCCTCCCTTCCAACCATGCTTCCTCCTTCTCTCTCTCAAATAAAATTTAAAAATACATTAGTGTAAGTTCATGAACATTTTAACTGACCCAACCCAACCTGGGTACGATTAAATTCTCAGCCAATTCTCAGTTTCAAGATGAATCCCCCTGGGGGATTTAAATATTCGAAGATCTACATTCTCTCATTAGTACAGTAATAATATATAATATCTATATTAGTACACCAGTAACAAAAGAAATAGGGACGTCTGGGTGGCTCAGCAGTTTAGTGTCTGCCTTTGGCTCAGGGTGTGATCCTGGGATCGGGGATCAAGTCCCACATTGGGCTCCTTGCAGGAGGCCTGCTTCTCTCTGCCTGTGTCTCTGCCTCTCTCTCTCTCTCTCTCTCATAAATAAAAATTTTTTTAAGCAAAAGAAATAGAAAATACTCCTTTCCTGAGATTTTGGACACATCACTTCATCATACTGCTTTATAATGTGGGCCTGCTGGCAAGTATGCTCATCTCCACCCAAGATACCATAGGGGGCACCTGAAATGATTTCAGTTGGACAAGACATCCTCAGTTCCACAAAGGAGGTGCTGGAACCAACTCACTTGTGAGGAATCTGGTCACTCTGCAGTCCTGGTCAGGATCTGGAAAGTCCTAATTGAGAGTGATCACAGTGGATACAAATCAGATCTGCAGAAAGACAAGGAGGCAACAATGTGGCCAATCAGGAAGTTCAAAAGAATTCCTCCTTGGTTTTATTGCTAAATTGGGTTTGACCGGAATAAATCTAGAAGTGAAAATCATGCTAATTAAAGAATGTGCCAGTGAGAAATACCAACCTGAGTCTCAGCTTCTGTTAATGACATGTATGTAACGCATGGTATAACAAATATAAGTACAGTTTTGACCACAACAAAGACAAAGGTTTGAAAGGAAATGTAATATGGCAATGCTCACTGGGCCTGGGAAAGCTGCAGAACAAGCTAGGGTGAAGGCCATGATCTCAAACACAGTCTACTGGGCGCCTGGCTGGCTCAGTACTGCATGTGACTCCTGATCTCAGGGCCATGAGTTCGAGCCCCATGTTTGGTGCAGAGATTAACTAAAAAAAAAATAATAATACATTTACACCTCAGTCAGGCCAGTGGTGTGGGGGACTGTGGCCACATAACAGACACCACAGCAGGTACAGCAGCTAAGCCAGACGCAGGGCGACAGCTTCACGAATGCCAACTGCAGGAGGTGCTGCTGCCCTGGACAGCAGCCATCTCAAATTGTATTTTTTCTTTCCCACTGGACCTCTTATTGTTTCGTTTATGTAACAATAGGATGAGCACTAATAAGCCTTGTTAAAATGTGTTCCTCCCCTACCTGTCCCACCACTTTTCCCAAGTAACCATCACACTTAAATATTTTTTAAAGCCCTGTTGAGGGATGACTGACAGATACACAACTTGACAAAGTGTACAACTTGATGAGTTTTGAATGCTATGCATACACTCCACACACCATGTCCCCACATGATAAATCTATCCATCACCCCCTCCAGATTTCCTCATGCTCCTTTAATTCATCTCTCCTTCACCCTTGAGCCCCATTACCAAGCAAACATTTGTGTTTTCTGTCACTTTTACATTTCTTAGACTTTTATATAATAGAATCATTTCTTAGACTTTTATATAATAGAATCATAACATAAGGTTTTTTTGTTTATTGGGCCTAGCTTTCATGCAGCATAATTACTTTGACATTCACCTATATTGATGCATATATCAACAGTTCATTTCTTTTCATTCCTGAGTAGTATTCCATGGTATAGATACATCATGGTTTATTCACTTACTGATGGAAACTGGGTTGTTTGTAGTTTGAGGCTAGTACAAGTAAAGCTGATGTGTAACATGACATAAACATTCATGTATAGGTAGTTGTGTGGACATAGGCCTTTCTCTTAAATACCTAGGAGTGGAAGGGCTGGATCACGTGACATGTTCATATTTAACATTTTAAAAAAGTCTTAAAAATAGTTATAGCATGCAGCCTGAGGGGCAGGCTTCTAATTAAACACATACAGATGTAAGCATCCACTGTAATCCTCTCCAGAATGTCAGTACTTCCCAGAGAGGAGCTTCTACACGTGTCTGTGCCCTGGTTTTGGGGGCTGCCACCCAGGAGACACCCACTGACTGCCAGCTCTTGTGGTCAGCAAGGCTTGCCTTTCTTCCGCGGTCCCATTAGACTATAACAAATAAAAAGATCATTCTCGGGATGCCTGGGTGGCTCAGCAGTTGAGCGTCTGCCTTCAGCTCAGGGCATGATCCTGGAGTCCCAGGATCAAGTCCCACATCTGGCTCCCTGCATGGAGCCTGCTTCTCCCTCTGCCTATGTATCTCTCTCTCTTTCTGTCTCTCATGAATAAATAAAATCTTTTAAAAAAAATTAAAAGTAAAACATAACTATAGCTACAATAACCAGTTAAGAGATATATAAAAGGATGTAAAATGTGTCACCTAGGTGGCTCAGTTGGTTAAGAGTCTGCCTTTGGGGCAGATCATGATCTCAGGATCCTGGGATCAAGTTCCACATTAGGCTCTCTGCTCTGTGGGGAGTCTGCTTCTCCTGTCTCCTTCTGTCTTTCCCCTCCCCAACCCCACTTGTGCTTCCTCGCTCACTCTCAAAATCTTAGAAAAATAAAATGTGACAACAAAAATATAAAATCAGGGGGAGGTGCAGTGTAAAACTATAGAGCTTTAGAATGTATTGAAACTTAAGTTGTTATCAACTTAAAATAGACTCTTGTGAGTTGTTATATATAAGCCTCATGGTAACCACCAAGCAAAAGCCTGTAGTAGGTAGACAGAAGATAAAGCAATCTAAGCATACCACAATATCATTAAATCACAGAGCAAGAGAAGAAAGTAATAGGGCAGCCCAGGTGGCTCAGCAGTTTAGTGCCGTTTTCAGCCCAGGCTGTGATCCTGGGTACCCGGAATCCAGTCCCACGTCGGGCTCCCTGCATGGAGCCTGCTTCTCCCTCTGCCTGTGTCTCTGCCTCTCTCTCCCTGTGCCTCTCATGAATAAATAAAATATTAAAAAAAAAAAAAGTAACAGGAATTACATAACAGCCAGAAAACAACAAAATGGCAATAAATATGTATCTATCAATAATTATGTTAAATGTAAATGGACTAACTCTTCAATAAAAAGATAAAATGGCTGAATGAAAAAAAAAACCTATCTTTATGTTGCCTACAAGAGACTCACTTTAGGTTTAAGGACACATGCCAACTGAAAGTGAAGGGATAGAAAAAGACATTATATGTAAATGGAAACCAAAAGAAAGCTGGGGTAACTATATTTACAACAGACAAAAAAAGAGTTTAAAACAAAGACTAATAAGAGACAAGAAGGGCATGACATAAATGACAGGGGTCAACTCAACAAGAGGATACAACATTGTGAATAATTATGTGCTAAACTGGGGCACTGAGCTAGCTCAGTCAGTGAAGTATGCAACTCTTGATCTCAAGGTTGTGTGTTCCACCCCCACATTGGTGTACTGATTACTTAAAAATATTTTTTTAGGGGCAGCCCCTAAAAGGTAGCACTCAGCGGTTTAGCGCCACCTTTGGCCCAGGGCCTGCTCCTGGAGACCTGGGATCAAGTCCCATGTTGGGCTCCCTGCATGGAGCCTGTTCTCCCTCTGCCTGTGTCTCTGCCTGTGTCTCTCTCATGAATAAATTTAAAAAAAAAAAAAATATATATATATATATATTTTAAATTAGGCACCCAACATAGAGGCACCTAAAAATATAAAGCAATATTAACAGTCCCAAAGGAAGAAACAGACAGCAATACAATAATAATAGGGGGCTTTAACAATCCACTTTCATTAATGGACAGATCATCCAAGTCAGAAAATCAATAAGGAAACATTGGTCTTAAACATCACCTTAGACCTGATAGACTTAAGTGTATTAACACATACAAAACATTCCATCCAAAAGCAAGAGAATATTCTCAAGAGTACATAGAACATTCTCCAGAATAGATTATAAGGCCACAAAACAAGTCTTTTTTTTTTTTTTTGAAGGTTAAACTTTTATTCAGCAAGCTCAAACAATTGCATGCTAATTTCCACAGCTAGGTTGCACCAAAAAAGGACTTAAAAATTTCCTTTTGGTATCCTTTTGGTAACTAGATTCCTGTTATATAGGCCTTGTTCTTTCTTTAGACCTACAAAAAAATATGTACAATTGACTTCAACAAATGATTGATTCTCTTTTCCCATATTTAGAAATCCCTCATGATCCCTCAGACAGTTCCTTCTGGAGCAAGCTTCCCAAGTCTTAATAAATTTAAGAAGATTGAGGGGATCCCTGGGTGGCTCGGTGGTTTAGCGTCTGTCTTCAGGCCAGAGCTTGATCCTGGAGTCCCGGGATCAAGGGAACAAGTCCGCCACTGAGCTCCCTGCATGGAGCCTGCTTCTGCCTCTGCCTGTGTCTCTGTCCCACAACCCCCCACCCCCGCCCCGGTCTGAATAAATAAAATCTTAAAAAATTTTTTTAAATAAATAAAATCTTCGGCGACCCGAGTGGCTCAGCGGTTTAGCGCCACCTTCGGTCCAAGGCCTGACCCTGGAGACCCAGGATGGAGTCCCACGTCGGGCTCCCGGCATGGAACCTGCTTCTCCCTCTGCCTGTGTCTCTCATGAATAAATAAATAAAATCCATAAATAACTAAATAACTAAATAAATAAAATCTTTAAAAAAATTTTTTAAGAAGATTGAAATGATGTCTAACATCTTTTCTAACCATAGTGGTATGAAACCAGAAATCAATTACAGGAAGAAAACTGGAAAATTAACAAATATGTGGAGATTAAACAACATGCTACAGAACAAACAATGAGTCATAAAAGAAATCGAAAACAACCTTGAGACAAATGAAAATGGAGAAATAGCATACCAAAACTTAAGGGATGCAGGAAAAGCAGTTCTGAGAATGAAGTTCACAGTGATAAATGCCTACATCAAGAATCAAGAAAGCTCCCAAAAGATCTAACTTTACACCTCAAGAACTAGAAAAAGAAAAACATCTGAAGCCCGAAGTTAGAAGGACGGAAATAAAGGTCAAAGTGAAAACAAATGAAATAGGGATGCCTGGGTAGATCAGTGGTTGAACATCTGCCTTTGGCTCAGGGCATGGCCCTGAGTCCCAGGTTCAGGATCGAGTCCTCCATTGGGCTCCCACTCCCCTTGAGGAGCTTGCTTCTCCCTCTGCCTATGTCTCTGCCTCTCTGTGTCTCTCATGAATAAATAACATCTTTAAAAAAATGCAAGAAGAGAAGTTATGACCAATACCACAGAAATACCAAGGATCATAAGAAACTAAACAATAATATACCAACAAATTTGACAACTTAAAAGAAATGAACAAATACCTAGAAACATACAACCTGCCAAGAATGAATCATGAAGATATAGAAAATAGGAACAGACCAACAACTAGTAAGGAGATTGAATCAGAAATCAAAAACCTTCCAACAAGAAAAAGTCCAGGACCACTCAGCTTCATTGCTGAATTCTACCAAACAGTTAAAGAAGTAATACCACCTTTCACCAACTCTTCCAAAACATACATAAGGAGGGAACACTTCTAAATTCATTTTACAAGGGCAGTATTATGTT